TTGTAAAAATGTGATCGTCCACGGAAGCGAAATTTTCAGTTTTTCGATTTTGTCGATTTGGGTCAAAAATTCGGATTTCGGGACTTCAACGAGATGTAACTTTAACGGAGATACTTGAGACTTGACTCTTGAGATAATGTAACTTTGCGTCCTTCATTGACATGAAATTGAACTAAACTGTTCAATGATATGTAACTTTAACCGGGATACTTGAGACTTAACTTTTGAGATAATGTAACTTTGCGTCCTTCATTGACATGAAATTGAACTAAACTGTTCAATGAGATGTAACTTTAACCGGGATACTTGAGACTTGACTTTTGAGATAACGTAACTTTGCGCCCTTCATTGACATGAAACTGAACTAAACCGTTCAATGAGATGTACCTTTAACCGAGATACTTGAGACTTGACTTTTGAGATAATGTAACTTTGCGCCCTTCATTGACATGAAACTGAACTAAACCGTTCGCAGTTTATTCCTCAGGGAAGTGTTTTGTCGGAACCCATAATCCGATTTATCGACCCATTTCGACTTACAGCACTCGGTCCTTTCAGTCCCTATAGCGATTGTCACACTATCAAACCTAGCTATCAAAATATGAAGGTCAAGTGTTGTGATTTGCTTATTCGATGACTTGAATCTCTCCCAGCATTATTTATGGTTCTGAACCACGAACAAATCCGCACCACTAATCTTCGGCACGAACAAGAGTATATTTTGCACCTTTTCAGGAAGCATTCACTCTCAGAAATACGACTTTTTCACGTAAAAAGAACTGTTTGAACTTCAAGCACTTTTCTCTGCTTGCACTGTTTCCTTAGAAAAGAAAAGAGAAAAAAAACCCAACAACTGCAAGATTCGCGGATAATCCAAAACGCGGATAATGGGTCTGAAGACAATCGGAATCCTCCTATAAGTCCAGAGACAAGAGATCCTCCACTAGTATCTTATCAAGCGTCCAGCCCACGGTCAAACTAGGGGCCTCAAAGAGGCTCATCGATGGAACTGTTGACTGTTGCGTCCTTAAAGATCGTCGGGCCGACGATCTTTGAGGGTAACTGATGTGTTCGGGATACATCACAGATCAGATCTTGAAATTTTCAAGGCATTCCGTGCAGAAATGGCTGAGAAATAGAAGAATTAGTGCCAGTTTGAGACGGTTTGAGAGCCCCTAGTTTGACCGTGGGCTGGACGCTTCAATTGTGGAAGCTTTTATTTTCGAGACTTCAACATTCAACTGTTGACCTACCTACTTGGTTGATAGCGAACATCGTGTCGGCAGTTTCGTTTTGCAAACAAACCGAAGTTGAGGAAACTTGTTTGGCTTAAGACTTCACCCGAATCTTATCATCAACCAAGTAGTTAGGTCAACAGCCGAAAAAAGAGTGATGGCTGTTGCTCCCTTATAATTGTCCATGAGGAAGTGTTGAATCCCGAAAATGAAAGCTCCCACCTGTCGCTAAGAGGCCAGCGGGCCGATTATTGAAATTGATAGACAAAGCTATAGACAAAGAAGACAAAATGGATTTTGAGGGATCCTGTTGGTGGAAGCGAGTGGTTGCATTGGACAAAGGAGATACGTAATAGAGAGACCCTATAGCTAATCCATCATTTTCTCCCCTAGTGTATAGCACTGAGAAAAAACTATGGTTTATAAACCTATTAGAGGTAAATATGGAACACCTATAATAGTCGTAAATAAACTAATGATTCTCGGTCTGTGAACCATACTAAGGTCTCTGTACCTAATTAAGGTACCCCGTACCATAACTAAGGTATATGTGCTATTATTATATGTAGAGGTACTACTATTAGTGGTGTTCCATATTTACCTCTAATAGGTTTATAAGCCATAGTTTTTTCTCAGTGAGAAACTATGCATTTTAACCAATAGGATCGCTCCATACACCCTATGTCTTCTTTGTCTATTGCTTTGTCTATCAATTTCAACAATCAGCCCGCAGTGGAGGGTCTCTTGTCTCTGGGTAAATCCCTATGTCCTGAAAATTTTGCTCCCGTATCGGTTGAAGTCCATTTGACCGTGGACGGTCACAATCGGAAAATCAGGAGAGAAAACGAAACAATTGAGCGAGTTTATTTTTAGAGCCGTGGCGCCAGGATTTTCCTCGACAGTTCTGTTGGGAAGTGAACGACTCGGCCGCCTCGTATCCCACTCGTTAATCTCAACCGAATGCCCTTATTTCAGCCGTATTTTGTATAACGCCTCACCGCTCTCAAGTTGCTCATTAATTCAGGGATTTGCTCCCTCCTAGTTGACTCAATGTTCCTCGCCGCTCTCCATATTACTCGCGGAGTTCGCATGAAACTCTGATGAGCGCACCCGGGACTGCTGCCACACTTCCGCTCGTAGTCCCCAGATAATACTGAAATTTCAGCTTTTCCCCCGTTTAAACCCGTGTACAATATCTGCATTTAATGGCACAGTCTGGCAACTGTGTCCGCTTGGACCGAGACCCAGACGCATCTCCAACTTTAAGCTCGGCAGGAACTGGGGGTCCCGAGGCTCCTGTGCGGTTCAACCCCCGATAGGCGCTTCGCGCGAAGAATTGGAAGATTTGAGGGAAGCAGCCTGGCATCATTGATTGCTGAGAGCCACAAAATCAGAGAAATTGACCGCGTAGAACCCCAGATAAAATGAACAGGGTTGCCACAATCCGGGAATACCGGGAAAACCCGGCAATGTCAGGGAAAAATTAGTATGCACCTTTATTTGTTTTTCTAGGATGGGTTTGACGTTTCGAACAGCAAATTTTGCCCAAAAACTATTTCTAATAATATCTTTTTGACCACCTGGCATATAATTTCAGTTGTCAGTGAATTTCACCAAAATGTGTTTGGGAAATCAGGGAAGTGTCAAGGATTTTCCTCTTCTAGACTTGGTGGCAACCCTGAATGAAACAAAAAATAAAAATTTTGAGTGTCAGAGAGCATCAGAGACAAGAGACCCTCCACTAGTATCTTGGCCATTGTGGAAGCTTTTACTTTCGGGACTTCAGCATTCTACTGTTGACTTACCTACATGGTTGATGTTTAACAACGTGTTGGCAGTTTCGTTTCGCAAACAAGTCGAAAATGGTCGAAGTTTGCGAAACTTGTTTGGCTCATGACGTCACCCGAAGCTCATCATTGACCATGTAGGTAGGTCAATTTGGCCATGTAGTAGGCCGAAATTGAGGTGATGACTGTTGCTCCCTAATAATTGTCCATAAGGAACTGTTGAATCCCCGAAAGTAAAATCTTCCACCTGTCGCTAGGAGGCCAGTGGAGGGTCTCTTGTCTCTGGAGAGCATATAGCAACGAAGAACTAGGCGCGAAATGCCCTCTGGGGGTTGGGCCGCGCAGCGGCCAGGGGGTATAGTCCCCTAGTATAACACTAAAACTAGAGACATTTCGACTGAAAACTGAGCCATTTTCAGCCGGAAAATAAATCAAAAATAAAAAAAATTTGAGACCTGCACATTCTCGGATCTTGGCCATCAAAATGTAAATCTCAGGTTTTGCCTTCGATATTTTTGAATTTTTAATTAATCATCCGACTGAAAATGACTCAGTTTTGAGTCGAATCGTCTCGGGTTTTAGTGTTGTATTTTGGCCTTGTTTCCCATCCCTCCTTTTTTTTCCTGATACTCGACGAATCCATTCGTATTCTGATCACATGATGACGATCATCCGTGCTGAAAGTGAAAGTAGGCCCTCTAAACATTGTAAGTTAGACGTTAAATTCACTGTTTTACTGCTTCCTTCACTATGAGCGCAGACGGAATTTAGGTTCATTTAAATTCCACGAACGCCCACCATCCCGTCCTTTCACGTCTCCGCGTCATCAATAATGCAACTCAGGTCTCGCGTTTTACGATTTTTCCTTTTTTAAAGTTTATTTTTCTCAAACTTAGTTTAAATATTTGACCGGTCCATAAAGCAGAAGCTTAGCTTGAACGGTACAAGGTATAACTTCACCGACCTCTCCTGTTTCTCCAACGTAAATACTAATTCTCTTGCAAAGTAACAGTCATGGGTGCCAATATTTTTTTTTAAATTGACGCTTTTAACTGGCCATCCCGTTACAAAAATGCGTCGTAATGCAGGGATATATAGGGAAAAAGTGACACAAAGCCGTCAAGAAGATTTCCTCTTGAACCTAGAATAAAATAGCTTTCATCATATAGGTCTTCGTTCGATATGAACGATTTTCTCCTCGACAAGAGCATATTTTCTTCTTTATTCAAGAAAAACTTCTCTATGGCGGGAATGCAAGAATATTCCTACTTACATCAATTTTTCAGGAGCCGAATTTTGTCGGTCCTTCCACCGTACTTAAATTTACCTAGGACGAATCTCGACCGCACCTAAGTCCGGCTTAAGCGCTTCTGATTGATCGGTGGCAGAGGCGGATCCAGCAATTTGGCAACATCGGATTTCCTCCATTTAAACCTACGCTAAACAATCGATTCTTGTCGGAGCACCTAACCCCTCCAAGAATCGATACATTTCCATAGGTTTAAATGAAGAAAATTCGATGTTGCCAAGTTGCTGGATCCGCCAATGGTCGGTGGTGCGATTTGGACTCTTCGATGGATGTTGCGTCTCCGCGTGAAAGAACCGACAAACTTCGGCCCCTGTTTTCCAGACAAATTAGCGATCTCGACACATTTATTTCTCGGAAACTTTCATTTATCTCTCGTTCGCCAGTAGGTTACGGCGTCGAAGCGAATCAAAAATTCGACGAGGCGGAAAATCTTTCAATCCATCAAACGGATGAATTTGTCTGTGATGCACAACGGTTAAAGAATATAAGTTGAAGATGAGGATCCTTCGCGTGGAAGGCTCGCTTCCACAAACTGATACGCTCTGACACGAGCAGGATATTTACTGAATGTTTCTGTTTATTCCGGATGGCACAAATTGTTTGTTGAAAACACTGTTATATTAAACATGTTACGTTACATATTGTCTGTTGTGTTTGTACGCTGCTCAGAGTAAGGAAGCCGGTATTCGAACACTCGTTGCCCTGGATGACCAGGGAGGTGAGTCTCACACACACATACTAACATTAATTTCTCACAAGTATACTTTTATTTAGAGACATCTCTGCAAAAATCAATGGCTCGCCGTTACCCCTGCTCCTGCACTTAAGATTACATTTTGAAATTAATACGTGTGGCCATAGGCGTAACTAACAGATATTACGATCATCTCTAGAGCCTGTGAACTCAATGCCAAAAATTTACCCCAATTGAAACTTCCTCCTAACGTCGCAAACTGAGGTACGTGGTTTAGGAGTTTCACCATCAATCTGCCATGCTAAGGAAAAACGCCGTATGAACATTTGAGAGTTGCCAAATTTTCTTCGATAAAATGTTCATTTTTGCAGAACGTTATGAATATATTTCCTTGAAATTTGCAGGAACTTCAAGTGAAATTGCGAACAAAATTATCTGAAACATTTGAAGGAAAATATTCATAAGTTTACCAGGATATTCGTGTTTTATCAGAGGAAATTTGGCAGCGCCTGAAGGTTCATACGGCGTTTTTCCTTAGCGCGGCAGCACTCAGGAGTCAAATTTTGCTTGGAGGAGCACATCTAAAAATCCCCGAGAACCCGCTAAACATGAATCCATCGAGAAGTTTACTCAGAAAATCTGACTTAAACCATCATATAAGAGCTTCATAATCATCGCCTCAGTGTAACGAGTATTATGTTTTGAAGTGGCCGTGCTACACTCTAATGAGAGCACTTTATGAGAACTGAAATCATTGTAAGCTGCGCGCCTGACTGAACAACTCTCAAAACCTCTGATCTCCGAGAGACACGTGAGAGATATATCAACAGAATGAACATCACTTAGTAGTTACCGTTAAGCCCTCAAAGTGAATTTAAATCACTCATGTTTGCAGAGATGTCTACCCACATTTTGCTTTTCCTTTATAATTAGTATGTACGTTCACACCACTAGTTAATATTTCGTATTGTTTGCAATAAAATTTTACTTTTTACTCACCTACAAGTACGTTTTAAGATTGCCGATTTGTCGGCTATTCCATTAAGCAGAGTTAAATTTTAGGCGCGCGTAATTTAAATCATGGCATCCTCATCCCAAAATGAAGGGTCAAAATTAATCTCGATGCAAGCATAAAAAACTCAAGAAACGTAAATTTTAAGTTTACGAACATGCTGTATNTTTTTTTTTTTTTTTTTTTTTTTTTTTTTTTTTTTTTTTTTTTTTTTTTTTTTTTTTTTTTTTTTTTTAAATTCAAGAGTCGCACTTGCGCGGGATTATCCCACTCATAGTGCTTTTATTTCTGTATACATATGCACCGTATCATTGTGTCATTCAACTTTTTATCCCGTTCATTTTCATTTTTAATCTATCTTCCTACGTTATAAACTCTCATTCAAACACAAAGTATGCAAGGCATTTTCCAATATACTTTTTGTGGAGGCTAGGAAGTTAGGAACTAAGCAAAAAATAAAATAAAATAAAAAATAAAGTAAGTAAAATAGATGAATGCACAAATTCTACGCTATTTACACATTTTTCGGTTATACACAATCAACTTGATTTGAGGAAAGTAGGAAACATCCCACCTAACACACTGACTTTACAGAACTCGATTTTTTTGTTGAACTATCACATGGATCGGCATTCTATCTGCTGTATTTCATCTATTCCTAAAACCTAACATTCGATTCTCCGTTGGAACCGTTTTTCTCTGTCCGTGTAATGCGAAACTAACCTGCACCAGCCACCAGTGGCGTGGCGTGAATGATCCATTATCGACATTTTTCCATTTGAAGCTGTAGTAAAGAATCGATTATCAAGGTGTTCGCTGCCAACACCTCGATAATCGATCCTTTTCCATAGATTTAAATGGCATAACGATCGATATATCGCAAAGCACGCCACGCCACTGCCAGCCGAGCAATCGCGTTTACCATCGTACGGAAGAAGAACGCCGTATGAGCCCTTCGATGTTGCCAAATTTCCTTTGATAAAGACTTAAATTTGAATGTGAATATTTTTCCTCCAATTATTCAGAGGATTATATTCGCAGTTTCATGCAGAGTTTATGAAAATTTCAAGGCTAAATATTTTCCTGGTAAAAATTGGCAGTAGAATCTGTGCTCCAAAATACCATAGACCTGCAGCCGGCTGTAAGATTTCCAAGAGCTTCTATAGCCGGCTACACAATTTCTTATAGCCTTTTATAGCCGATGGCGATTAAGCAACAGCCAGGCGATAAAGTGTATGCTAAGCGTTACTAATTACGGAGAGCTAAGACTTAGTGAGTTTTTGGACCACTGCTCTCTTTTTGGGCCGTAGTATCTTGATTTATTTTGCGAGGAAAGCTCCGTACTTTTGATGGATGCCTGCCATTACTAATATATTAGAGCGCCTTCAGTTTCGTATGACACTGTGCAATACCTCTGGTGTGAAATAGTTGCTTCAAGCGCCGCGGCAGGCGGGCAGCCAGCGCGAAACGCGCATTGGCGCCTACAAACCTAACAGGGATACTTCACGCGTTGCGCAATGCGTGAAGTATCCCTGTTAGGTTCGTAGGCGCCAGTGCGCCACCGCTCCGCTTTGTGTTAGGCTCTAATATTTAATCTGGCGGAGTCAGCGTTATTCAACTCATGATTTTGAAATGTTTGCACATCCTGTATGGATTATTCTCATTTTAATTGATGAAAAAAAATATGTTCTAAAGGAAAATATAATGCGTGTTTTGTATATATTAAAGTGGTTCCGTATGAAACTTAATGATTACCAAAGCATACGAATTTCTATACAATTTCTTATAGCCTTTTATAGCCGATGGCGAAAAAGCAACAGCCAGGCGAAAAAGTGTAAAGCCCGGTGATAGGAACTATAGCCTGGCGGTATAATTTTTTATCGCTTCGTATAGCCCGGCCGTATGATTTTCTCCGCATTCTACAGCCAGCTATATGATTTTCTGTAGCCTTCTTTAGCCGGCTATAAGAATTCCTATGGTATTTTGAAACGCAGCTCTTATCGCCAATTTTTACCAGGGTTGTAACTTTTGTATTAAATTAAACCATTTATGGGAGGCTATTTGGCAACGTTGGATCATACAATCCATCCTGCGTTTTTCCTTCGCATGCATGGCAATACGCCTATACGAGCACGTATCACGATGACCGCAATATGCTGCACAAATCATCCATGACAAGTATTCGGGGAAACTGCAATTCCACTCGTTCAAATACAGTGTTACTTATTTCGTCGTTTTCCATCCGAAAGTACGTAATTGCCGCCAACATGGCAAAATTTCCACTCATATGAACTATAATATCAACACGAACCTACTCGGCATTTCTATCCGACTATTTTACTGATTTTTCTTTAGACTAAAAGCAAAAATCAGTCAAATTTTGGATGTTATAATATTGCCTGGACATTCTCTCGTAAAAAACGTAATGTTTTGAGTTGATTATGCCACTCAAAATGAAAAATGTTTAAAAATGATTCTAAAAATGTTCGTTTGTTCGAGAGACGACGATACGCTGATCATGTTTTGACGATGTTTGATCATTTTGACACTGAGTACTCTCGACAACGGTTATTTGCTTTCAAAAAACTTGATATTAGGTTAAACTCAAATTTCTATGGGTCGTCGTTATCGAGTTTTTTGAAATCACAAGATTTGATTTGCTGAACAATTGGCTTGTCTCCGTGTCTCGTGTACATACATAGATTTACCTTGTACTCAGTACTAAAAACTCCGCTTTTGATATATAGTTGCGTTGTTTTTTTACTTGATTTGTCTCAGATCATTCAAATGTACAACTGAAAATGAGTCTAAAGATAGGCGATTCTTGTTTGGATCGAGGGAAATTGTGATTAAATTAGCCTTATCCTCGTAGTAAACGACCCATAAAACCATCCGTAAGAAACTAATTGTCGTTTTTGATTAATTTCATATTTGAAATTCGAATCAATAATTCTTGTAAATTCGATGATTTTCTTTAGAGGTCGTAGTCAAAATGTAGTGTCATATTTGTATTACATTAGGAAATGTCTTCAGAAATCAATGGGAAATAATGAGGAATGGTTTTATTTGTCATCCCAGAAAATTCAATATAACCGTGGAAACTGCAATAGTCTATTCTGTAATATTTGCTTGTTTTTTTTTTTGTTCAGTACATGTTTAGTGAACAGGCTGTAGTCATATGCGTGAGGTAGAGGTTCTGAAACCTTTTGTATAGATATATTAGTCATTTACAAATAGATTACGACTGTAGTCATTTCGGGTATAAATATAATCTATTTTTATGTATTTCCCTTTCACGCCTCTCCTTTTTTCTTCATTTCTCTTTAGAGTAAGAATCAATTTTGTATCGTAAATCGATAGAGTTTTTCTTGTTTTCTGCTCTACAGTATTATATAGTACGCAGTTCTGCCGATTACTTTTTTCTTAGTCGGCAACTAAATTTTCTCTTCGGTTAACCCACGTATGTTTAAAAGATTTTAATCGGCACATAACATTTAATATTTAGGCAGAAACACCTGGCGCATTCTTGTTTTCATTTCAGTTCGTGTGAGCCTCAAACTTTATAATTGGAGAGGTGTACCCTCGTGAGAGAAGAGAAGGATGTTGATTATTTAGTTACCATAAGAACGCCACAAATGTTTTTCAGTACGGTTTTTTGTTACGAACAAATTGTTTTATTTTGATCGTGAATTATAAAATTGAAGACAAATTTAAGCGCTTTAATTTTGTTTCCGCATTTCATTTCGCGCACTCTCCATCCCCCCCCCCCCCCCNTCCCCAAAAGAAGGAAGAAAGCCGCTCATATGTGCAAGCTGTTCATTTGAATCGGGAATTGTTTGCGTTTCATCTTCTTCTCAAAAATGTTCATTATGAATAAATTGTTAAAGCTTTTTAATTGCCATCAAGTTTTCGCATCTTCCCAGATTACTTCAAGAGGCTTATTTTGCAACTTTATTCCTCTATTCTGTTCGTTTATTTCCTTTTCTTTCTCTTCTCTCATATTTTTGAGACG